GTTGCTCGGAGACGGAGTGACGCCGCCTTCTGACCGAGGGCTTCGGGGAGGGCCCAGTATGGACCAGTATGGAACCAGTATGGCACCAGTATGGAACCAGTATGGACCGAAATGGAAGCAGTGTGGACCAGTAAGGAACCAGTATGGAACCAGTATGGACCAGTATAGACCAGTATGAATCATTATAGACCAGTATGGACCAGTGTGGAACCAGTAGAGATCAGTATTGCACCAGTATAGACCAGTGTGGACCAGTGGGAACCACTATGGCACCAGTATGGACCAGTATGGATGAATAGGGACCAGTATGGCACCAGTAGGGACCAGTATGGACCAGTAGAGACCAGTATGGCACCAGTATGGACCACTACGGACCAGTAGGGACCAGTATGGACCAGCATGGACCAGTCGGGACCAGTATGACACCAGTATGGCACCAGAATGGGACCAGTGGGCACCAGTATGGCACCAGTATGGCACCAGTATGGACCAGTATGGACCAGTGGGGACCAATAGGGACCAATATGGCACCAGTATGGCACCAGTATGGACCAGTATGGACCAGCATGGACCAGTAGGGACCAATATGGCACCAGTATGGCACCAGTATGGCACCAGTATGGCACCAGCATGGACCAGTATGGACCAGTGGGGACCAGTATGGCACCAGTATGGACCAGTATGACACCAGTATGACACCAGTATGGCACCAGTAGGGACCACTATGGACCAGTAGGGACCAGTATGGCAACAGAATGGACCAGTATGACACCAGTATGGCACCAGTATGGACCACTATGGACCAGTAAGGACCAGTATGGCACCAGTATGGCACCAGAATGGGACCAGTGGGCACCAGTATGGCACCAGTATGGACCAGCATGGACCAGTAAGGACCAGTATGACACCAGTATGGCACCAGAATGGGACCAGTGGGCACCAGTATGGCACCAGTATGGACCAGTATGGACCAGTGGGGACCAATAGGGACCAATATGTCACCAGTATGGCACCAGTATGGCACCAGCATGGACCAGTATGGACCAGTGGGGACCAGTATGGCAACAGAATGGACCAGTATGACACCAGTATGACACCAGTATGGCACCAGTAGGGACCAGTATGGATGAATAGGGACCAGTATGGCACCAGCATGGACCAGTATGGACCAGTATGGACCAGTATGGCAACAGAATGGACCAGTATGACACCAGTATGGCACCAGAATGGCACCAGTATGGACCACTATGGACCAGTATGACACCAGTATGGCACCAGTATGGCACCAGAATGGGACCAGTGGGCACCAGTATGGCACCAGTAGGGACCAGTATGGACCACTATGACACCAGTATGACACCAGTATGGCACCAGTAAGGGACCAGTATGGACGAATTGGGACCAGTATGGCACCAGTATGGACCAGCATGGACCAGTACGGACCAGTATGGCACCAGTAGGGACCAGTATGGATGAATAGGGACCAGTATGGCACCAGTATGGACCAGTATGGACCAGTAGGGACCACTATGGCAACAGAATGGACCACTATGGACCAGTAAGGACCAGTGGGCACCAGTATGGCACCAGTATGGACCAGTGGGGACCAATAGGGACCAGTATGGCACCAGTATGACACCAGTATGGCACCAGTATGGCACCAGTATGGACCAGTATGGCACCAGTATGGACCAGCATGGACCAGTACGGACCAGTATGGCACCAGTATGGACCACTATGGACCAGTAAGGACCAGTGGGCACCAGTATGGACCAGTATGGACCAGTGGGGACCAATAGGGACCAGTATGGCACCAGTATGACACCAGTATGGCACCAGTATGGCACCAGTATGGACCAGTATGGCACCAGTATGGCCGTCCCCCCCCCCAAGCCCCTCTGGCTCGCAGTCTCCATTTTAACCCCCTCCCCCACCGCTGCGCCGCTCCGCTGCTGCGGCACTTCCG